TATACACCAGAGTCCGCCCCACCAAGGGACGGAGCGCTATACACCAGAGTCCGCCCCACCAAGGGACGGAGCGCTATACACCAGAGTCCGCCCCACCAAGGGACGGAGCGCTATACACCAGAGTCCGCCCCACCAAGGGACGGAGCGCTATACACCAGAGTCCGCCCCACCAAGGGACGGAGCGCTATACACCAGAGTCCGCCCCACCAAGGGACGGAGCGCTATACACCAGAGTCCGCCCCACCAAGGGACGGAGCGCTATACACCAGAGTCCGCCCCACCAAGGGACGGAGCGCTATACACCAGAGTCCGCCCCACCAAGGGACGGAGCGCTATACACCAGAGTCCGCCCCACCAAGGGACGGAGCGCTATACACCAGAGTCCGCTCCACCAAGGGACGGAGCGCTATACACCAGAGTCCGCCCCACCAAGGGACGGAGCGCTATACACCAGAGTCCGCTCCACCAAGGGACGGAGCGCTATACACCAGAGTCCGCCCCACCAAGGGACGGAGCGCTATACACCAGAGTCCGCTCCACCAAGGGACGGAGCGCTATACACCAGAGTCCGCCCCACCAAGGGACGGAGCGCTATACACCAGAGTCCGCTCCACCAAGGGACGGAGCGCTATACACCAGAGTCCGCTCCACCAAGGGACGGAGCGCTATACACCAGAGTCTGCTCCACCAAGGGTGGCACCGTGTATTAGAGCTCTATACACCAGAGTCTGCTTTACCAGCTCCACGTTGGGACACTGGCACCGTGTATTAGAGCGCTATACACCAGAGTCTGCTTTACCAGCTCCACGTTGGGACATTGAGCAATGTTCTAGTTTGCAACAGGGAACTTTTTAAAGCTTTGGCATGCAGAACGAGACAAACTACAAAACATATATATGAATGAGCACGTACACACACAAAATACATAAGATCAGACAGGCTGTTAGTGTAGGACCTGCTGAATATGGGGTACATTGGTGTTGTGGAAGGCTTATGCAATGTATGATCATATAATGTAACTAAACCCCCATTAGTTTTTGCCTAGGTGAGGTGTTTATAAATAAAACTATTACAATCTCTAAGATTTGAAGTCATTGTTTAGTGAATGAGCGAGTCGCTGGATTCTGTATTTTGGCCCCAGCAGCAGCCTATAATGTAAGCATGTCCAGCTCGCTTGGTTTCATATACACACACACACATACACAAACGTATACACACATATAATAAAGAACAAGCACACCCAAGTATGTTACAATGACAAAGAAATAGTGGTTAAAGATACATTGTTTAAAAATGATAAAAGTAGTTAAAATACAATAAAATGATAATGTCCAGTAGTAAGGGTTGATCGTGTCCTCCATTGTCCATAAGGCACTGGTCCAGCTGTACTTGATCTGAGCAATGTTCTGGTTTGCAGCAGGGAACTACATACAGATATTTATAGTTTCATTCTAAGTGTATTTTGATATTAATATATTCAATTAAGTATATTAAAATCCACTAAAAATGAAAGTGTGAGTATGTGTGTATACATATTTACTTAGATCATATGTATATACATATACTGTCTTTCCACAAAATTAAGACTGGATCTTGTAAGGCAATGAAATAGTTAACTCTTTTTGCATTATATGCTTTAAAATAATGTTTGAAATAATTATGCTGACCTTGGTAGATGTATTCTGTAACATGCTCTGAGAGGTCTCCCTTCTACAGGATGTATGACGTCGGTCGACCTCAGGATGTTCCTGTCCCGTCTTTATTCAAATGCTTATCTTTTTAATGTCAGAGAATTATGTGCTATTAACTATAATGAAGCGATAAATCTCGCTGCTTGCGTGACAAACTGTGTATAAATGCTAGCCCTGAAAATACACTCATTTGAGAATCTTGTTAAAGCACATTTGTGGTGTCCGTGTCTTTATTGCTAACAATGATTCTCCATCAATTTAATTATGGTGACCGGAGAATCGAGAATCGAGGGGAGTTGAGTCCAGAACAGCATTAACCCTTTCAGGTCTTATATTAATAAAACCGGGTCTTATTTCATGGGAAAAACGTGTACTGGAAAGCAGGTCTATGGTCCGGGGGAATTCCCAAAATCTATGTTTGGGGAAAATTAGCGAATGACTAGGGCTTATTTTCGGGGGATGTCTTTTTTTCGGGCAAAAGGTATATGATCCAAGTAGGTTTTTTTTTTAAATTAGTTACACTATAGTCACCAGAACAACTAGCAACAGGTTAATGTATACTATAAAGCTTAATGTATTTGTTATGGTGTCTATAGTCAGTCCATGCAGGCATTTCAATGTAAACACTGCCTTTTCAGAGAAAGGTGTTAAGATTGGTGCCTAGTAACACCTCTAGTGACAGTCACTCAGATGGCCACTAGAGATGCTTCCTAGGTCAGCACCATATCTGCATGGAGATGCAGAACTTTCCCCATAGATATGCATTGATTCAATGCATCTCTATGAGGAGATGCTAATTGGCCAGGGTGGGGTTTGTCTCCGCCCCACCCCATCTTACTGGCTGAGATGATCAGAATTGATCATCTCAGGCAATCCACTGCTTTCCTATAGGAAAGCATTGTGCTTGGCAGCGATCACCAATTCTGATGATGTCAGCCAAAGAGGTGGATGGGAGGGAGCAAGCATGGAAGGACTTTATTTAAAGGGACACTATAGTCACCTGAACAACTTCAGCTTAATGAGGTTGATCAGGTGAGAACTATAGCTCCCTGCAGCCTCTCTCATGTAAACACTGTATTTTCTGAGAAAATACAGTGTTTACATTGAAAGCTAGGAACACCTCCTGTTGCAGTCACTCAGAGGGAATCAGAGGGACTTCGGAGTTGATGGAGGCATAATATGCCTCCATCCACTCAGATCTGCTGTCAGCGGAGCACAGGGCAGCACTGTGCACAGCACCCTGTGATTTAGTATCTCCTCCCTCTGCATGCAGACACTGAACTTTCCTCATAGAGATTCATTGATTCAATGTATCTCTATGAGGAGATGCTGATTGGCCAGGGCTGTGTTTGAATCATGCTGGCTCTGCCCCTGATCTGCCTCTTTGTCAGTCTCAGCCAATCCTATGGGGAAGCATTGTGATTGGATCAGGCTACCACATGTCAGCAGACTGCTTGTTTTTCTGACTCTAACAGCATGCAGATTTACAGCTTCAGGCTTGAATACAGTAAGATTTTTACTATATTTATGGAGGCATGAGGGGCCCATATGGTGGTGTTAACACTATAGGGCAGTGGTGGCGAACCTATGGCACGCGTGCCACAGGTGGCACGCCAAGCCCACTCTGTGGGCACGCGGCCATAGGTCGCCGGAGAGAGGGAGGGTGCGCTCCGCCGGCGCATCCATAAGGCGGCACAAGTGGCCGCCTTAGGGTGCACCGGCCCGGCGGGCGCAAAGCCGGAGTGACCGGCAGGAGGTGAGCGCAGAGCGCTCCCTCCTGCCATTCACTCTGTGTAGCGTGGCCGAGCGCACCGCGGTACAGGAACTTATGTTTCCTGTACCCGGGCAGCCGGAAATGAAGTGCTCACAGAGCGAGCACTTCCTGTCCGCCGGGTACAGGAAACATAAGTTCCTGTACCGCGGTGCGCTCGGCCACGCTACAAGGTAGGAGCTCAAGGAGGGGGGACCTGAGTGGGAGAGAGATGGGGGGACCTGAGGGAGAGAGATGGGGACCTGAGTGGGGAGAGCCAAGTGGGGACCTGAGGGGAGAGCCAAGTGGGGGGACCCGAGTGGGAGAGCCTGGCGAAAATCGAGTGGAGAGAGATGGGGACCCGGAGCGGAGAGAGATATTGGGACCTGGAGGGGAGAGAGATACTGGTTGGGGGGACCTGAGGGGAGAGGAGATGGGGTGGACCTGGAGTGGGAGAGAGATGGGGACCTGAGTGGGAGAGCTTGGCGGGGGACCTGAGTGGGAGAGATGGGGGACCCGAGTGGGAGAGAGATGGGGACCTGAGTGGGGAGAGCCATGGGGGGAAACAGAGGGGAGAGCCATGGGGGAACAGAGGGAGAGCCAGCGGGGACCGAGGGAGAGCCATATGGGGACTGAGGGAGAGCCATGGGGACTGAGGAGAGCCATGGGAGGGGAACTGGAGGAGAGCCATGGGGACTGAGGGAGAGCCATGGGGGACTGAGGAGAGCCGCGGAGGGGGGGGGAACTGAGGGAGAGCCATGGGAGATGGGGAAACTGAGGGGAGAGCCATGGAGGGGAAACTCGAGGAGAGCCATGGGGACCGAGAAGCCATGGGGGAAACTGAGGGAGAGCTATGGAGGGGGGGGACACCTGAGCAGGAGAAAGATGGGGGAACTGAGGGAGAGCTTATGGGGGGACTGAGGGGAGAGAGATGGGGGCCAAACTGGAGTGAGAGAGATGGGGCTAAACTGAGTGGGAGAGAGATGGGGGCTAAACTGAGTGGGAGAGAGATGGGGGGCTAAACTGAGTGGGAGAGAGATGGGGGGGACTGAGTGGGAGAGATATGGAGGGGGACCTGAGTGGGAGAGATGGGGGGAACTGAGGGAGAGATGGGGGGAACTGAGGGAGGTATAGGGGGAGAAAACTGAGTGTGGGACGGGGGGTGAGGGGGGACGACATACACACAGCACCCCTGCCCTACACATATCACCCCACACAAAGACACCCACACATCACCCTACCCACACATCACATCACCCCACCCACACACACAAACACATACAATGTACCCCTCAATGCAGTGTGTGTACACTCAGCAGTCTGTCTGTGTGTGTACACTCAGCAGTCTGTGTGTGTGTGTGTGTACACTCAGCAGTCTGTGTGTGTGTACACTCAGCAGTCTGTGTGTGTGTGTACACTCAGCAGTCTGTGTGTGTGTGTACACTCAGCAGTCTGTCTGTGTGTGTGTACACTCAGCAGTCTGTCTGTCTGTGTGTGTGTACACTCAGCAGTCTGTCTGTGTGTGTGTATTCAGCAGATTGTGTACTCAGCAGTCTGTGTGTGTATTCAGCAGTCTGCTAAGTACACAGACAGACAGACTGCTAAATACACACACAGAGATGTTAATTAGTTCGGACAACTGTATGAGTTGTTTTTTCGAAACTTAAACCTCAGTATTCAGGTTTAAATGCCATTTTGGCACTTTGAGGGAAAAAAAATTGGCATGTATTACGGTTTGGGCACTCGGGCTCAAAAAGGTTCGCCATCACTGCTATAGGGTCAGGAATACATGTTTATGTCCCTGAACCTAGAATGTAGGGCTGTTATTATTATATTAATATTTATATAGTGCCAACAAATTCTGCAGCACTTTACAGTGGGTGGACTAACAAACATGTAGTTGTAACCAGACAAGTTGGACACACAGGAACAGAGGGGTTGAGGTCCCTTCTCAATGAGCTTACATGCTAGAGGGAGTGTGGTATAGTGACACAGTAACAGAGGGATTGAGGGCCTGCTCATTGAGTTTACATGTTAGAGGGAGTGGGGTATAGTGACGCAGTAACAGAGGGATTGAGGCCCTGCTCAGTGAGTTTACATGCTAGAGGGAGTGGGGTATAGTGACACAGTAACAGAGGGATTGAGGGCCTGCTCAGTGAGTTTACATGCTAGAGGGAGTGGGGTATAGTGACACAGTAACAGAGGGATTGAGGGCCCTGCACAGTGAGGTTACATGTTAGAGGGAGTGGGGTATAGTGACACAGTAACAGAGGGATTGAGGGCCCTGCTCAGTGAGCTTACATGTTAGAGGGAGTGTGGTATAGTGACACAGTAACAGAGGGATTGAGGGCCTGCTCATTGAGTTTACATGCTAGAGGGAGTGGGGTATAGTGACACAGTAACAGAGGGATTGAGGGCC